TCACACTCACCAATTGACATTATAACCAATCCAACCACGATATCAGCAGCTGGCGAAAGTTTAGAAGTAAAACTCTCTGAGTTGGAGTTTCCAGGAAGCTCTTCATTTCTCGTTGAGTTCGAAAACATATTGTGTACGAATAGTCACGTTTCGTACTATTTTCCAAATGAATAAGGTAGGCTAGCTGATCCTGCATGGAAGAGTAAGAGGATATCAAATGACGTCTGGTCTCGCGCTCCCTCATCAGTGAGCATCAATGAGTCTTTCTTTTTCTTTCTTTCTTTCTTTCTTTCTTTCTTTCTTTCTTTCTTTCTTTCTTTCTTTCTTTCTTTCAAAATAAAATGCAGAACAATAAATTGATAGCCTATTACAATTCTTGGAGTTCCACAAAGCTCAAAATACTAATATATACAATATTGTTGACATGTTTTCAGTTGTGGGTCTATTAGTGCAGTTGTTCTCAAGCAAGCTTGCTTATATGTGCATATAGTTTAAACAATTCAATTATTTTGTTTGTCAAGGTTGTTTGGTGCAATCAAAGGGGCTGAATTTCTACAATATATACATTTACCGTAGGCTATACCGTTTTCACGCAGCATTATGTCTTGGTTTTATTTGAGCATTAAATAAACATATACATCTTGTTACTCAGCTGGTGGACTCAACTTGAAAACCAATGTATTAGTGCAATTGTGACAATAAAAGTAGAAATCCATTGATTATCACAAGACAATTGATTATATAGAACTTTGAAAAAGTCTCAGACATGTTAGCATTTACAGAAGTGTTTTTAGCAGTTTCAGCCTGACACAGTTATCGTTTTCACGTCCTGCGCCCATTTGTGCTCCCATTGGCTGCTGGTCTGAAAGTGAGGTGTTTTCAGGTGCATTGTTGGCTAGACTGCATTTGACTAACTGAAACCTATAGTCTAAAGTCAATGTTGTTGTATTTTATTTATTTATTTTTTTGTTATTTAAAGAGAGCGTTAGTAATGCGAATGTACACTCTGCTTATTACACACACAGGGATGTGCAACAGCACACAAACATGCCAAATATTAAAAATTAAAGGATTACGATGTACATGTTTAATTGTGAACAAAGATATGGTGGAATGAATTCAGCTTGTCCCTCAGATGATCTGCTCACAAGCTTAAAGGAGTAGTTCACTTTAAAAAAAAAAAAACCTTTTACTTTTGCTGATAATTTACTCACCCCCATGTCATCCAAGATGTCCACGTCTTTCTTTCTTCAGTTAAAAAGAAATTAAGTAATTGGATTATTATTGATTGAAATTAACATTTCAATCAACAATAATCCAATTACAATTGGCAACATTTATGGACCAAACTCTGATAAGACCCTTATTCATCGCCTGGTGTTGTTTAAAGCCCTTTGAAGCTGCACTGAAACTCTCATTTGGACTTTGAACCGTTTGGTTCCCATTGAAGTCCATTATATGGAGAAAATCCTGAAATGTTTTCATCAAAAATAATTAATTTCTTTTCCACTTAAGAAAGAAAGACGTGGATATCTTGGATGACATAGGGGTGAGTAAATTATCAGCAAAAGTTTTTAACTTTAAACATAAAAGTTTCTAAAGCAAAAGATATAAATAACTTGCTTTAAACTATTTTCTGTGTAAAAACACTATTGTGGCTAAGACTTTTGCACAATACTGCATGTATGCATGAATGGAAACCAGTAATTGTATTCAAACATAAAGTTCCTGATAACTAATCCACAGTTAGCAATGTGAGGAGGCAGAGACTCGAGGAGGAATCAGCAGCCTGAATGAAGGAGGGTCTATGAAACATTCCAGACCTTTGCAAAGTACAAATGCTATTTATGATGTATAAAATACAGACAAATAATATCATATAAACAAAAAAAGCATTAGGAACTTTGTATGCTATAAGATTATCTGCTGTCAGTGGGCTGTTTAATCCCAGTCAATCACATGACTTGACAAATGGATCCTTCTTGAGGCAGATGGCGAAAGGCTATGAAGAAAGAACAAGTGAATGTATATGCAAAGCAAATATCAATATGCAATTGTCACCATACACCACTTGCCCTTTAGAAATAAATAAAGGTGTCTTCAACAGGTAACATTAAAAAACAATAGTCATAAATAATACTAAGTTGAAACCAATTAAGATTTCACTTAAATAGAAATGTAGGACTTAGATCATTGGCTGTTATTTTAACAGAATCTTAATTACAATTATTTTAATTCAATATTTAAATCACTTTAAATGAAATGTTTGAATAAAATAATTAGGTAACACTTTATAACAAACAGTTCATTCATCAGTTCATTCATCATTAAAGCATTAGACATTAATAAGCAGTTAAGAAATACAGCTAAATGCCTTCTTCTTGATTTAAAAGCATATCTATTTGTTTATATATTTTTATTTATTTAAATGTACATTTATACATCTTATTATTCGGACATATGGTTACTTAGTGTGTTAATAAATGCTTTATTAACATGTATTTATGCTGTAACTCAGGGTTTTTATAAAGCATGTAGTAGTGGCTAGTTAACTATGTTTGTGAGCTCATCTAAAGTGAGGACTATTCATGCCGTGTAAAGCATAAAGAAGATTTAAAGGCTGTTAAAGCGGTGTTTGTTACATTTTACTGTTTAGAAGATTGATGAGCCTTTAGATCTCTTTTATAAATGCTTTACAAGGCATGAATAGTCCTCACTTTAGATGAGCTCATGAAATAAACAGACCACCACTAAATGCTTTATAACTACCTGTATTTACTACATTTACTTACACTTTCTAAGTGATGACTGACAACTCTTAAATAACTGGTTGTATTTAGAAACTGCTTATTAATGTCTACTCATGCTTCATAAATTATGACTGTTTACTCATGCTTAACAAATGATTACTAGCGTGCAGTTATTATAAAGTGTTACCAATATTTTTTTATTATTATTATTAATCATGGACAGTTAGCTCGATATATTTACAATTATCTCACATGATTATTAGGCTATATTAAAAATGTGAACAGGTTAAACACTATTACTAGTCGGATAAATAACAAAATAAACATGTACTTAAAAATCAGCCACTAGTGCAATTAATGAATTACAAAAGATATATCTACGAATAAATCAGCAATAGGCAGGATAGATGTTGTCTGTCTGTCTGTATCTCCACTTGGAAGTAGATATTTCCTCCCCTCGAGAGAAGGTCACGGAGAGATAAAGATGTGCTGCTGCTTTATTTACGCCTCACATTGAACAGCACAAAGAATACAATACAATGCAATACAGAATACAAAACAAAGCAGCGTACTGTGAGTCATTCGTTTTTGCACAAATAATAGAGAAAAGGTGCAATTGTGTTTAGTGAATGAAACATTGATTGCCCTCATTCATTGCTCAAGTCTTTTATAGACGTTTGAGATTAGACTTGACTTGACACTTGACAACAGAGACCTCTGCTGGTGCAAAGATACACCGCATTCAGAAATCTAAGGGACATTAAAGCAAAGAAAATGAAAGTGGTGCCATTACTTTTTCTATTTATGCTCTTTTTTTAAGACACGGAACACAAATAATCTTCAAGCATCTTTTTGCATAAAACTGGAATATAGAACATGAGTCATATCACATATATTAGCCTATATATTAGGGCTGTCAAACGATTAATCGCGATTAATCACATCCAAAATAAAAGTTTGTGTTTACATAATACACAGGTGCACTGTGTATAATTATTTTGTATATATAAATACACACACATGCTTGTATATATTTAAGAAATATTTTCATGTGTATATTGTATATAGATTTATATAAAATTTATATCATATATTATATTATAATTTATATTATATAAAATATAAATATTTTATATATAAATAATATTTTTTCTTAAATATACATAAAATATGTGTGTATTTATATATAGTATAAATATTATATATATATTCAAACAGTTTTCGGTCCTCGTTGACTTATATTATGAAAGTCAATGGGGACCAGCAACTGTTTGATTATCAACATTCCTCAAAATATCTTCCTTTATGTTCAACAGAAGAAAAAACTTAATGATGCATGTTTAGAACAATACGAGAACATAATTACATAGTTTTCTTTTTTTGGCGAGTGAACTATCCCTTTAAACTTTAACAGCCTAAATACTTTTGGTAGAAAATGTGTATGTTTCTTTTAGAAAGTCAGTCACGTTTCATCTCAAATGTATTTTTAGATACCCTTTTATTTATTAGAAAGAGGAGAACCGTGCATTTGAATCAGCCTGTCTGTTTCCTGGTCCATTTCCAATCCCTCCTTATGGATGTTCTGAATACATGGCTGTAACAGTATCACGTGTTACAGTGTGTGTGTGTGTGTGTGTGTGTGTGTGTGTGTGTGTGTGTGTGTGTGTGTGTGTCCACTTTAGAATTATCTTTTTCTTTTTTTCTTTTTTTGTATTAGCCTAATTTGCCTTCTCACATGCTATCTTTTAAACTCTTTTTAAAACCTTTTTTTTATCACATTTTTAATTCATTTAATTTTTTTAAGTTATTAATGAAATTATTGAGTTTTTAAAGATTATCTATTAACCAGGTAATTTCATAATGTGAGTAATGAACTAAATAGTAGCTGAGGTGAAATAACTGAAGTCCATCGGATGGATATCTCGTTTAGTTTGTAGTCAAAACTGTAGATGGGTGGACAGACAGACAGACAGACAGACAGACAGACAGACAGACAGACAGATTTACTGTTTTTTAATTGCCCACTGGGGGTCATAGTTTACCAACTTTTCCAAAATACAGCGGAAAACACACCTGAATATTATTGGTTTCATTTTGTTTGTAGGATCTGGTTTGGACTTTTTAATCTTCTTTTATACTACAGTAGGCTAATTCTAACATTCATATAGAGTTTTCTGCCCTTCCAAAGATGGAATTTTGAACACATCTAGTTTGAATCTTGGGTGCTTAGCAATATAATTAATATTAGCCTGCACATTTAGTTTGGTTCTGGGCCGGTATCAGTGCGCGTGCTTTCGCCGCGTCTGCGCGTGCCCGCAGCCAGTAGGAGATCCAGAAACAGAGCCAAAGATCATCATCATCATCATCCTCCTCATCATCCTCCTCCTCCTCCTCATCATCCCGGAGGAGAGGCCCATTGAATGCATGCCCGACACGCCTTACCCGGAACGCAAAGATGAGTTTACGCGTCTGATCTCAACCGTGTGCTGTGTTCGATTCGGGGATTTGAGAGCAGATCCGGAGGTTCGGCCGCCCGTCGGTTCGATGCGAGACTACACCAACATGCGCGTGTGTGACTGAGGTGCATGCATCCGACCAGGACACGGACTCTAGGAACCGAGTCAAGCCGTGGAGCAGACGACTTGCAGCTCACGGGTTCACCGATCATCATCATCCGCTACATGTGACCGAACCGAACCGTCCGAACCCATCGGCAGCTTCACCAGCGAGCTGCGCTTTAGCACGGTGAGAAAACACTTTCACGTGAAGATTAGACGATTAAAAATAGGAGATTGTTTCAGATCATTCATGTAATTTGAACCGTTGAAGCTTTTTGCTAGATGGAGATAACGGCTAACGTTAACGTTACCTGTTCCAAACCGGTTCGTCTCGGGATCCGCCAAGGACTTTAGTTCAAATCTCATTAATACCCGATTCAGTCAGACAGACACCGGCCACTTTATATGAATGACAGACAATAGAAGATTTTATTGCTCGAATAATGAAATCAACCACTCAAATGAAGAGAAAATGTAAAAAAGAAATACTCGAATCATATAATGATCAGATGTGACCGTTAAACTGAATTAATGACCCGAGTTCGCCTTAGCCTAGCATGCTAACACAGCAGCGCACGCACAGAGACACTTTGTGCTTTATTTAGCATTAGGTATTGTATATATTATCGTGTTTTATTAATTGATTTACGTGTCTACGTTTGAGTTGTTAGAAAATAGACATGTTTCAGAATTAATTATGCAGTGTTGTTAAAGCTGCAGTTTAAACTGTATAGCATGTTAGCCGCGTTAGCGTTCTGTTCAACAACACATTTTAAGGAATTAACCTTTATTCAGAGGATTTGTATTCTAATTCACCTTAAATCAGATTAATAAAAGGCATTCAAACGTCAATAACTGAGATGAAGTGTGTTAAACTGAAACTGGTCATGTTTGCGCTATCAAACGTTATCTTTGTTTATTGTGATTGGAAATCTTTCTCATGTTTTGAGTAAAAACACCGTCATTCTTAATAATTATGATTTTGTACCGGTTAATTTTTTTTTTACATATATACACTTTCTCAGGAGAAATATAGTATTAAGCATGATTGTGAATCTTGGTCACTATGGTTAACTTGAAGTGGCTCCTCCTCAACATGCTTATCAGGAAAGACTATTTAATTTGAACCAAAGATTTTCATTGTTTGTTTTGCATGATACACAGATATCAAAGTCTAACTGGCTTAAAGGGTGTCAGTATGAACCGGCATATTTATATCTGAGGTTACTGGATGTGTGTTAGTAAATCAGTTCACTTCATAGATGCAAGTAAGCCACGTCTCTACATTCTTTGGAGACTTCAGTCTCCTCCATGTCTTGGCTTGACTACCTTGATTTAAACATACATCAGCTTCAGGCATTGCTAAGGTGTTGAGATATAATTTGCTTTGTTCTTTTTTACTTTCTTTTTTGCAGGCAGGACAAAAAAGTATGGCTCCCCATCTGGACGCGGCTCGCAAATTGTTCTGGATCTTAATGAAGTCGCTGCTCCGTTTCACCTTCATGTTTGTCAATAACTGTGTTGCGATCCCGTCCTACTGCCTCTACCTGATAGCCCTTCAGCCGTTAAGAGTTCTGGATGCCCACACGTTCTGGTACATTGAAGGGGTTATGTTCAGGTGGTTACTGGCAATGGTGGCGTCTTGGGGATGGTTTGCAGGTTACACAGGTAAGACCAGCTTTTTCCTCTATTTCACTCTTAAAAGTTAATGTTCCAAAAGTAGGTTTTTCGCAGTGATGCCATAGAATAACCTTTTTGGGTTCCTCAAAGTACCTTTCAGTGATCACTTCTTCAAATAATCTTTTCTTAGTTTGAAGATTTTAACGATCCAAATCACTTTTTCCCCACTATAAAAAACCTTTTGTGGAATGTAAAGGTTCTACTAATGTTAAAGACCATGTACACACTGCAACTAAAGTGGTTGTCAATTCACCTTTTTGTGCTAATCCTGTTCAGTAGTAATGCGCGGGTCAGATTTTTTCCCGCTTTTATGAAATTATTTGGCCCGACCTGCACCACTGTATCTATTTATCTAGAAAATTGTTATATTGTTATATGAAAACAGGACATGTCCTGGGAAAACAGGACAGTTGGTCACCCTATCTAATAGGTTAAACTATATGTTATTTCTTAGACCCTTCATGTCATATGTTTTGACATGCTGGAAGTGCCGTTTTGTGGCTCTCCTGTTTGTATATTTTTCACACGAGTTGCACTTCGCGTATTTCTGAGAACCCGTCTCAAACATTACATTTAGCAGCCAGATCTTTTTTTCTTTTAATTATTATTCATTTAACACCTCGTCTTCCACCTTCACTTTTATTTCTCCATTCTTGTTGTTGTGATGTGTGACGTGACACCAAAGGTTTGAGGAAACCACACAAACGTTGCTATGGCATTTGTATTGTAACCTTATCAAATAACCTAACGAAATATGAAAATAGATTTTCCCAAATATTGAATATAATCTGGAAATTGCACGCAACATACATGGATTTAAAAAAAAAATTGCTTTTAATAACCCGGCCCAACCCGCCCTGCAAATAAAGTGACAATTTCTTTCCCGCCGTGCGGGTTATGAGATGACCCGTACATCAGTACTGTTTGGTACACCGAGAACAGTAATTTACAAGAGCGACAACCACATTCTACAACCCAATTATCCCCGGAAAATACAGGTAGTGACAACCACATTCCTCACAATAATTCTACACACAGTACAGAACTGAACAAATAGTTGTTCATGACGTACGACGAGAGATATGAGAGACGAAAGATACATCTCTGTTTTATGTTAAAATACGCATGTAAATACATGCGTTGACACGCAGTTAGAATAATTGGTTGAACATTTTATGGCCTTCTACACCTTCCACATTTTATTACACCTTCCATAGACGATATATAATAAATACAAATAAAATAAACAGTGCTTGTCCGGTTATTAAATTAGGCATCTAACAGTAGTCTTCAGGAACCGAAACTGAATTAAAACTAAAATAATATTGCTTATAGTCGTCACTGTATAAATTAAATAAAGATTGATCATTATTAAAGTCACAAAAGCTATTGAGTCAAGAGCAGTGATTGATTTCCTTGTCTTTTGTTGTTTGATTAATATTAAACGCTGACAGCAGGAATATTAGTCTCTTCTCACTTTAAGATATAATGCACTTCCACGGATCCAAAATACTGATATTGATGCATCTTTCTCATTCTGTTTACTTTCACTTAAGACAAAACCGACTGTTTGCTGGGATACTTGGCAAGATGGGCAAGTTGATATGGACAGGTTGATTTAAAAAAAAAAAAAAAAATAAATAATATATATATATATATAAAGAATATATTGTCGCTGTAAGGCAGAAATCTCATATTTCATAATTTTTTGTTTTATTTGTAAAAATCAATCAATATTATTGGTCATCCTTTGCCTCTGTATGAGAGTTTTACAAAAATGTAACCAATGAAAAGCATTTAAAAGAGCTTTTCACTAAACCGCGTATCTCCATTGGCTCTTCAAACTGTCAGTCAAACCTCATAACTCCACCCACCTCTATCGTGAATGAAGCGCTACATGCAGTATGGAGAGCTTTGCTTGTTTGCAATGCAAAGTTAAATAAAACAACTGATGTTTGAATAAGTACAGCGTTTTCTTTACACAAGGAACATTGTCTAAAAAGGCTGTTTTGTTGTTGTTGTCTGTAATTTGCTGTCTAGTTGTAGCCAATATATTGTTTTAAATAGCCTATCCTTTAGATATGGCACTTCTTCTTTTATATGAGGAGATTTTTTTTCCAAATGCATTCAACAACAGAAAAGCTACAATTGTGTATTGTGTAACCTGTCAGTTGATGAAAACATAATGCACTGTCTCAGATGCAGCTGTTCTAGTGATGGACAAAATATCTTTGTCAGTTGTTAACTCCACCTGAGCTTGATTTTCAAAACATGTTAATATTATGAAGGCACATGCACATACATAAAGCCACGATACCAACTTTGACATAGTGGTTAATTATTTTAAAAAATAGGGTTTTTCCGCCCTATGTTAATTTGTTGTTTTATCATCATTACCAACAATTTCAAATAGGCTACCTATATCTCCTTCCTTATTGTGTTCCTACCTGACTTAAGGCCCGTTCACATCAAGCACGATAACTATAAAGATATAATTCTAAAAAATCATTCTCCATATTAAAGAATAACAGAGTTCACACCACAACTATAACGATAAAGGTATGAGGAACTATATCGTTGGGATCACTTTCAGAACGATTTTTTTTCCAGCTGTCCAACGATAAAACACTGACAACCAATCAGAATCCATTCCAATTTAAAGTTCTTGCACATTTAAAATGGCAGATGACATTCCAGAGAAAAAAAATCCTCCACTGGTTGACAAGTCAAACCCGCTTTTCAAGGATACGTTAAAAAAGATGGATATATGGAAAGCAATCGGTCGTATCCTGGGAATAAACGGTGAGAAGTATTCACAATGAGATATTATGCAGTTTAGCATAGTGTAACAAAATTACATCAGGTAGGCAATCCAGCGCTAGTTGACAACATTGCTGGAGTTGCAGTGAAAAAAAGGCGTTGTACATATATAAAGGTATTGACTAGGTGATGTTTTCATCCCATCACTGACTTCATCAGCTAAATTCACTGTTAGACTTGCTCGATTCACTGTTTAGATGCGCTCCCAACTCCTCTCGTCTTTTAGGCCGTGTGTCCACCAAAGCTTTTTCCACGCGCCTGGCGTTTGTTTTCAATGGGAGCGCCGTGTTTTTTAAACGCCATGAGTGTACCGAGGCGCTGAGCATTTTTTTCACGCTGAAGCGCCGAGCGCCTGGCGTTTTTATTGGTCGCTGGGAGTTGAAAAATGTTCAACTTTGGATAAAACGCAGCGCTCATCACTGTCACTTTTTACCCAGCCGTCCAATCACAGTGGAGGAGGGGCGGGACTAATATCACACCGACCAACTGTCAACATTCAAACTGCTGCGGATATTCTGTATCATAGCAACGAAACGTCTCAACGGAAAAAAACGCTGCGCTGCCAGAACGCTCTCAAGCACCCAAAGCACGGCGTCTTAAGCAGATCGTCTAGCGTTTTCAGCTGGCTAAAAACGCTTTGGTAAAGCGCCTGTTTTTTTTGTTGATATTTGTTTGTAACATAAAGCAGCAGCTAGGTCATCCATTTTCGCTACTTTGAAAACGCAGTGCGGGTGTGCGCGTGCTTAGAATAGAAAGACTGTTATCGGTCGTTGGTGTGGACGCATATATAGTTATCTTTATCGTTATATTTTTAGTTATCGTGCTTGGTGTGAACAGGCCTTTAAGCTCGAGTTTCACCTTATTTTATTATATTTTATAATATTTTATTATAATATTCAATATCCAATATATTTCAATATGCATGTTTGTACAATTTAGATATTGTAGTTCTTATTGTAGACTTGATTATTTATTTTTTTACTGTGCCGTGGCAAAAAAAAAAAAAAAAAGGTTGGGAAACACTGCCCTACTGGATAAAGTTCTTCATTGAACCATTAATGCCAATAAAGAACTGTTTTCTTTATTTTGATTACTGTTATAAGATATTAAGAGTTCCTGACCTTTTTAATAAGGTTAGGCATCCAAATTGTCAATTTCACTGCCTGACGGTGTAAAGCAATGTTTCTTCAGTCAAGTGAGCCACTAGACTTCTGTCAGAGTCTCCTTGTGTTGCCAAATTTTGACTGCTGAGTGGAGATCTATCGACTGTTTCATCTTTATTGACTCTCACTCACACTGTTGGGTTTCCGGAGTTTGGATCGATTTCAATATTTTCTTTGGTTGACAAGTTTGATTAAACTATTACTGTGTTTTTTTTTGTGTTCGGACAGTATTATAATCTTATGGGATGTCTTTGTTTACCTCATATCCCTCTTTATGAATCCACATTATCATTCATCACAGACTGGAAGTGGCATTTCATGTGGCGTGTGATAAAAGTATTGATTTGGCTATTTCCAGTAGAAAGAGGTTTTTAGGTTTCCTTGTTGAATTATGGACAGGTTGGATCGAGGTGAGTTGATGCGCCTCCTGCTTACTCACGGGCATTTCACAGCTAATTTCATTTTGTTGCACGCTGGTACTAAGAGTAGCATGAGTAGTGTTAATTGTACGCAGAAAGCTCTCGACTGATTATGTGGACCATGAGATGGAGGCGCAAGGGCTGGGACAATCAGCCTGTCATGAAGATAGATAAGACCATTCGTCAGCCTTTTACAAGATAACAAATAAAGGTTGTTAATGTAACATTCAGCTGTGAAACACAGTTTAATATGCTGTAATCTTAATCTAAAATGATTTTAAGGAATTGTATTATACGTGGAGATTTTATGAACTCATGATCATTGAACAATAATAGTTTTTTTTAACAATAATACATTTTTATTTTAAAAATGACGTGAAACCTATATATATATATATATATATATATATATATGAAACATGCCCATTATACCACTGTTTTTGTTATGGAAGTTTAAGTCTGGGATTTTTGAGTACTGGTATTTTGAAAATCAAATAGTTGCTTATTTGAATTGGCAAATTATTTGTTTGTTTGATAAAGTTATCTTAAGTCATTGTTAGACAAGCTTCCCTTTCACATGTACAGT